CAACTTCTGCAATCCATCTTCTTCCTGGTTTTGTGCTGCCTGTTCTTGTCTTTCTATTGTTAGATGCACATTCTTCCAGACATTTCTCCATCCCAGGGGAATAACAAGCTGCCTAGTTATGCAGGTTTGTGCTGAGAAAAAGAATTGTGCAGCTGTTGTATAAATGAATTACAGTACAGCTGAGGTCTGAATGTAATGTGGAGGTAGGGAAATAGTCTTTCAAATAAATAAAAAAAAGGGTCACAAATAATCCTGCTATCCAATACATCATAAACACTGTGACAATGGTCTTTCACACACTTCACAACCAAATTCACTCTAACTTGTTACATACCCAAACTAAAGGGCACCTTTGAAAAATATCTCACCCCCTTCAAGTAAATCCTAGGTGACCACTTGTTAATTACTTACTTAATTGTAATTTACTTAATTAATTTCAATTAATTTATTAGAACAGAACTAAAGTCAGCTAGGCTGGGATCATCTTTCAACAATCACACAGTCTTGGTTTGGCACTACTTCCAATAACAACTTGCATTTCACCCTCAGAGAAATCTGAAATCTGCTTTTCTCAGGGAGATGGGTCTCCTCACAGTGGATCTTGGCTTTCTGGGATGTATTGTCAAAGATGTCAAAATGAGGAAACATGAACAGCTTTAATGTGCCCTTCACCCTATTTCTACCCACAACCCCTCTCAGTTTGATAACCAGGATTTTGGGGGTTTTAAAGTCACATGGGACAATGTCTCAGGATGTCAAAAATAATTGTCTTTTCAACTAGTTAAAGATACAGATCTGTTGAGGCTACATACTCTGAAAAAAAATCCTGAAATCACTGTCCCCATTCTTCCTGCTTCAGTTAAGTTAGTTTGGCCTTTTCTCTCAATTCCACTCACCCAGAAGCAGCAGCAGCTCTGGCTGCTGGAAGCCCAGGGAGGTGGTCACATTTTCATTTTGTCTGCTCCTTCCCCACGGCACTCTGAAGAGACCTGGGCAATGCCAGCAGCCTTTGCTTTCCCAGTGGTCACATTTTCATTTTGTCTGCTCCTTCCCCATGGCACTCTGGAACCTGGTGAAACTCTGCCAGTCTGCCAGCACAGACCTCTGCCTAAACCAATCTTTTCCCTGCACTGGCCACCACGAGAAAGCAGTGCAGGAGTTACAATCAGTGTTTCAAATTACCTTACATGATGATAAGGCTGAGTGGCCATGGGTAATAATCAAGGGAAAGCCAACAAGGCTGGTGTTTTCAACAGTCTGACAGCTTGTCCTCAGGACAAGTGGCCTCCTGAGCTGGAAGATGGGGACAGGGAGCAGAATAATAATCTTGTTATTCAGGAGGAAGCAGTTGGGGACCTGCTGAGCTCCTTAGATGCTCACAAGTCTATGGGACCAGATGGGATCCATCCTAGGGTGCTGAGGGAGCTGGCAGAGGAGCTCACCAAGCTGCTCTCCATCATTTACCACCAGTCCTGGCTCACCAGCAGGGGTACCTGATGGCTGAAGGTGTGACAGCCATCCATAAGAAGGGCTGGAAGGAGGATCCAGGGAGCTCCAGGCCTGTCAGCCTGACCTCAGTGCCTGGCAAGGTTATGGAACAGATCACCTTGAGTGCCATAAGCACCTACAGCATGGATTCAGGAGGGGCAGGTCCTGCCTGACCTCCTTTTATGAGCTGTGGCACATCCAAGAAGGGCAACAAGGCTGGTGAAGGACCTGGAATGCAGATCCTATGAGGAACAGACACTGAGGAAGTTGGGGGTGTTCAGGCTGGAGAGGAGGAGGCTCAGAAGAGACCTTATCACCCTCTACAACTCCCTGACAGGAGGGTGCAGCCAGGTGGGGACTCAGCCTCTTCCCCCAGGCAACAAGAGACAGGATGAGAGGACACACCTTAAGCTGCACCAGGGTATGTTTAGGCTGGACATTAGGAAGAATTTCTTCACAGAAGGAGGGACTGGGCATTGAGGTTGGAGTCACCATCCCTGGAGGTGTTTAAGGAAACCCTGAAAGGTGCACTCAGTGCCATGGTGGTGTTAGGTCATGGGCTGGATTTGACAACCTCAAAGGTCTTTTCCATCCCAGCTCATCCTGTGATATTCCATGAAACTACACACCATTACAGGCCCAAAGGATGCAACAGATGTTATTTTGATTGCTCAGGTGTGCAAATGACTGGAACAGTGAAATCCAGCAAGGACTGATGCTAGTGCACAAGCGGCCAGGTTGGAGCTTTGTACCCAGGAGCTGGCAAGCTTTCTGTTTCTATTCTGCCACCTCACCAGTTTTACATTTCTTAGACACAAAAAACTGTTCGTGCCTGAAGCCAAATTGCATTTATTTTGCTTTTCCAAACTTGCTTGAAGCCATGAATTCATGAGCAATATGAGGGGAAGAAAAAAAAAAAAGGAAAGGAATGTGGTTTGTATGATTATCTTTCAATTTCCCTGCCAAATGCTGAAGTTCTCATGTGCAGGCAATCCTCAGCTAATTAATTTCTGAAGTTCATGCAAATGCTCCTTTGTTACCAATACCTGATCCTCCTTTCCCAGGTAGCATGTACACAACAACCAACAATTTCACCAAGTCCCACGGCTGTTCTGCTGTCACAAACATTTCACTTACTTGTTGCCATGTTAATCTCAGACGTTCAAATTGCTCCTTCCCATCTTCTGAGCAATCAGAGCAAGTAAATCTGAAAAAGTTATCTCCTTTGAGGTAGCTGAGCTGTTCTCTCAGTTGACCTAAAATGAAAAGGTAAAAATCAATCTTTTTGCCCTTTTATAGGAAAAAGTGCTGCAAAGGAAATTTGGATTTCTTCCAAGGTTAGGTTTGTCTGAACAAAAACCACAGAACCACCTGTAAACCCCCATGCACCCAAAGTTACAGGCTCTAATTCCGTGTTTCTACAGCAGAGGAAAAAAAGTCACATGAATCAGGTCTTCTAAACTCACCAAAGTTAGAGGCTCTAATTCCGTGTTTCTACAGCAGAGGAAAAAAATATGAATCAGGGCTTCTAAACTCATCAGGAGTTACTTTACACAAACATGCACAACTGAAAAATAGCATCGGAGGACAGGGAAACAATGTTAAGACAAGAGTGTTTCTGGGAAGTCACACTCAAAAGATGTTTGTCCACAAGGATGTCATCTCTTTTACTGTGCATTTTATAATTTTTAACATATGGGTACCCTGCTTCCATACTGAATTGCAGAATTCAAGTTGCAACTGCATCTGATGGGGAGAAACCCCCTCGCACTTGGTAAACCGAGAGAATTTCTGCAACTCAATGTAAAAAAGTGATTATTTGCCTGAGCACCTTGGCCATTTTCACATGAGACAACTGAACCCCCTAGAACTGAATGATCAGGAAAAAGCACAGTATCTCCCTTTGGCAGCTCGTTTACTCTGCACATTTGTATGTATCTACCGTTGCTTTGCAACTGGCCTTTTCTGCTTCTTGGATTTGTTCCACAGCAACTGCAGAGAGGAACATACTTGTAAAATAAAACAAGTTGAGTGTTAAATCAAGTGCTCCACATGAGATAGCTCAAGCTACCTTTAACTGCTTCATTTTTTTTATTAACACACTTCAAGTTAATATTTCCCTTTACTTCATAGGAGTTAAATAGTCTGGTGCTGGTTTCATTACATTAACACCTAAACATTCACTAACACGCCTTGAGAGACGATTTTTACACTATAAATTTTGGCAAATCCTAGGAAGGCAAAAAGGGCAGCTCTGACATATCTGCAAGGCAGGTGCCACCTAAACATATCCTGATTTCTAACCATAAACAAACCCCACAAAACCCCCAAATCAAATCAAACAAGCAAAAAAAAAAAAAACCTCCACCAAAACCAAAGCCAAGGTGTTCAGCAGTATCTGGCTCTTGAATGTAATAAGAGATCAGATAATCCAGAATTTAGAATGTAAAGCTGTCTGTTACACTGCTAACAGCATATATCTTATGTCAAGTGCCAGAGGAGAAGCACCAAATTCTGCAGCTTGCTCCTAACACCCCCCAGAGCTGGCTGCTGAAGGCTGGGCATGTTTCTAAGCCAACTTAAATTCACACTGGGAAAACATTAAGGTTGAGATTTAGCCATATGCTCCACAGATGTGACAAAATCAACAGGGAGGGGAAAATGGCAACACACAAAGTCCTTTTTCTCCCCACAGCTTTACAGCAAGGGTCATTATCTGAGTGAGCACAGAGGTCAGGTCTGTTTAGAGGCCCAAGCCTCTAAAGAGCTGCAAAGAGCTGCAAGAATCATCAGGGTGGGCATGTTTCTGAACTTTGATGTTCTCTAATAATTGAAGAAGAGTTTGACTTGCTCAGGAGAGCACCAGCTCCGCGCACACAGAGCTCCTGGACTGAAGTGTCTAACACAGCCCCTGCCAGCAGGCATCACCCACCAAGGCAGGACAGGCAGCAGCCCAACAAGCCGTGAAAGAGGAAGGCAGGACAGCACCAACACCTTGCAAACAGCCACCGCGGCCAGCACAACACAGCCTTACTTGCTGGGATCCACTTCTGGCACTTCTCACAGTAATAGGACATCTCCTCCATCCAGGACGCTTCGCCCTCGTCGCTGTTCAGGGAGTCCCCGCTCTGGTCGTGCGATAAATCCACGGAAGCCTGGTCCTCGGACTCCACGATCAGCAGAGTCTCCCCTTCCACCTCGCCCTCCTCCAGGCCCTCGGAGGTGGAGGTCCTGGTGGCTTCATCGTCGTGGCGGCTGAGCAGGCCGCTCATGTGAACGTTGTTGGCCATCCCAGAGGGACAGGGAGCCTGCCCAACAGTGAGCTGCTCCTGCCCAGCCTCACACGCGGGCCAAGCCTCCGCACTCCAAGTACCAATCACAGACGAAATGGGTTTTGGTCTGCCCTAAAGCTGCAGAGGCTGGATTATAATTATACGCAAGAACCAGTCTTTCACAGATTACCTCTCTTTGCTAAAACACCTGCAAGAAGCGAGATGCAAACGACCTTCAAACGTCTTTAATCAAACCCCTAAGGAGGCAGGCCGAGCCTAGGACTGCTGGGAGCGTTTTTCCATCAGCGCCTTGTCTCTCTCTTCAGTGAGCTGCTTTGTCAGAGCAATCTGCTCTTCTAACAGGCGAACGTTCTCCTTTTTCTGCCTCTGCCGCTCAAGATCTCTGACAACGCCGCTTCGCAGCCTCTGCAAACACAAAGGACAGGGTTTATCACAGCCCGGGGATGCTGATCCGCACCAGCCCCCCCCAGGCTCCACCCCTCCCGCAAGGCTGTTCCCTCTGCTGCTCCTGCGGGCTGCTGATCCGCACCAGCCCCCCCCAGGCTCCACCCCTCCCGCATGTTCCCTCTGCTGCTCCTGCGGGGTCTTCCCACAGCAACTTAGTAGTTGGAATCTTCAGGAGCCAATCTGCAGAATCACTACACCAAAAAGTGCTTTATTTGCGCTCACTTCAGATGGTTGGGTTTGCTAAGTGACCAAGCTATTGAGCAAATAAATGCTCGGAGCCTGTAATTCCCATGCCATGCAGGATGGATGTGACCTGAAAAATCCTGTCATCTCACACCTAAATCTTCACCAAATCACAATGAGCTCTCAAAACTTCTCTACTTGGAGGCAATTTTGTCACAAATTGGAAACTATTTTAAGAGAAATTGGCCTGTGTCTTCACTTGCTTCTTTCTGCTCATGTCTTAATCTTAAGAAAACACCCACAGCCTGCTTATGCCAAACTCTTGAAAAAGCAAGGCACTTGCTTCACAAATATCCCCTTTACCTAAACTGTTCGTTATAAATCATGTAAATATATAACACATATATAAATAAATATATAACGTGCAACACAACACCAGCAGCTTTCAACCTGGGGTGCCACCCCTCAAGGGGTGTAAAAAGTCCTAAGAAAATCCCAGCTGCTTCTTCCATATGCTTCTCTCTCTCTCTCTTACCTAGACATTTCTACTCACATTGATACTTTGATAATTAGGTGAAAGATCAATAATTTTTGACCCACTTGAATGATGCCAAAATGCACCTGCAAATTATTTGAAAGCTCACCCTGAAGTCACTTGAGAGGATGTCTGTGACTATTATTCAACAAGTTATCACGGGGTTTAATTGCTCACCTAGCAAGCCAATGACTGCACACTTCAAATGCACTCATTTCTCCTGTCAAGAAGATTTCTTCTGTCTAAACAGAAAGGTTCTGTTTAAGAAATAATTTTATCTTGTTAAGAAAATGCACAGCTGCATGTGTCTGCCAATAACCAAAACTCTCCAGAAATTAATCTAATAAAACCAGTTCCTTCCCACCAGCTTCCATCAACTGAACTCAGGCTATGAATTACTGTAATTACTGATTACTACAAATCAGTAATTTGAAACTGAACACAAAGTTCACACAGTTGTTATTACATTACTATTAGTTAATAAAAATAAAGATGTGAGGAGATACAAGGTAACTGATCAATTGCACCAAGAATGTAACCCTTTTTCCTTCACAAAACCCTGCAATCTTTCAGACGGTGGATGTACTTACTGTGAAAATGTACATTTTGCAAAAGACACCTTTAGAATTTGAGTGTCACAAGTGACAAAGACCTGAAATGAAAATGTTAACCTTCTCATCTTCCTCTATTCTTGGAAGTTAGCCCTGCTTGTCTTCTGCAGGCATGAAAAGCATGTGCAAGCTCAAAGCACTCTGGGCCTGGCACATCAATTTATAAAAGTCAAATGTTTATTAATCTGCATAAAGATAAACTTGAAATAATCTCTACACCAGGACTGTAAAATATCCAATTATTTATTTCCATTATGTTATCTAAAAAACTGGATCTGTTGAACATGAAGCCACTACTGCCTGACTTGGCCATGAAGAATTATAAAATCTCAGCTTTAATTTACAAAATATAAGCTTTGAGCCTTGGACCTTCTGAGTAGGTATTAGCCTGTAATAGGATTTGGGTCAAAAAGCTCCATGCAGTTTAGGTGTCCCAGTGAAACACCCAAGGGTGATGTTTACTCTGCCACTCCAGGACCCCAACAATCCCTGCCTGTGCCATTCAGTGTTCTCCAACCCTGCTCACACAAACCCCCCTCCTTCCTCACCCAGACCAGTCTCATCCTCCAAATTCCATCCCTCTCAAGCACTGACAATCTCTTGAGGGGAAGAAAATGTAATCCTCTAATTACAGAATGTATCACAGAGCCCAAGCAACATCCAGCTGAGCTGGGCTGTGGGTTGGGAAGTTGAGCTCTGATGTTCTGTAACTTCTGACTGCCCTGTGCCATTTAACACAGGCTGTTTCTGTGTGCAGTTTCCAGATTTTTTTGTATGTAAGTGGAGAAGGATCAGATGTGTGCCCTCATATAACCCTGGGCTCATCAGTAGGGTCCAAACCAGCACACTCCCTGCCCACACAGCACAGCTTCACACAACCCTGACACAGCTTTTAGTCCCAGGCAGGACTGCCCTGCTCCAGGCCTCACCATGGTCACACCTGACACCTTTTGGCTGTGGGCTCCCTGGCACGCAGGCTGCCTGCCAGGAACTCCCTGATTTTTGTAAATATAGCACAGAGAACAGCCCTGCTCAATTACCACACGGTGCTTCTGACAGCCTGCAGAACAAGAGGGGAGCAGGGACAGGGGCATGGCACGGCACAGGGCTGTCTGATCTCCAGGGGCTCAGGAAAAACAGGGCACACCAGTGGGACAGCACGGCCAGAGCCTTGGGAAAACTGCCAGGGGGGTGGCCTTGGCTAGAGGCTGCAGGATCACATCCCCTCTGCAGGCTGGAGAGGGAGGAAACACCTCCCCCGAGCCTCACCTGGAGCTCCCCGCTGCCGCGTGCTCCTCAAGGGAAACGCACAGGACAGCATCAGGGAGCTGGTGCAGCTAAAAGAGCGTGGACAGCACAGGGGCCAAGGCAGGAAAACGCGGGGAAGGGGTGGCCTGTGGAGAGAGCACCATCGGGGGCAGCGGGCAGGGGCTCTGGGAGCAGGGCTGGGCACACACAGTGCCCGCAGCCCCCAGTGCTGGGGCACGGAGTAGGTGTGGGCAGGGACAAGGAGCTGCAGGGATGGATGGATGGATGGATGGATGGATGGATGGATGGATGGATGGATGATGGATGGATGGATGGATGGATGGATGGACGGACGGATGGATGGACGGACGGACGGATGGATGGATGGATGGATGGGTGGGTGGATGGATGGATGGATGGATGGATGGATGGATGGATGGATGATGGATGGATGGATGGACAGACGGACGGACACCTGGGCTCAGGTGCGGGTCCGCACAGCGCGCGGGGCGGGGCTTAGCGGTGGGCGGGGCTTAGCGGTGGGCGGGGCTCCGCGCTGAGCCCGCAGGTGGGGGCGGGGCCTGCCGGGCCGCCAGGTGAGGGGGCGTGGCCTGAGCGCGGGGGGCGGGGCCTGCACTGAGGGCCGGGGCAGGGCCCCGCTCACCGCCTCCCCCCCGCGGCCCGCGGCGCGCACTCACCTCCAGCTCCCGGCGCTGCTGGATGTGCACGGCCGCCACGACGGCGGCGGAGAGCAGCGCGGAGACGGCCAGCGCCAGGCGGGAGCCCCGCGACATGGCCGGCGGGGCCGCGGCGGGGGAAGCGGCGGGGGCGCGGGGCGCCCCGCCCCCGGCCGAGCGCCGAGCGCAGCGAGCGAGGCCCGCGCAGCCGAGCGCCGATGCGGGGCGGGGCGGGAGCGGCTCCCGGAGAGGCCGTCCCGGGAGCGGGAGCTCGCAGGGTGCCGGCCGGGAATTCTGCCTCGGGGCGCTGAAACCCGGCCTTTGTTCCCGCAGCGCCCCTGGGGATTGGGTGCCCAGCTGTGCCCGCGTCTCCTGGGGCTGTTCCCTGGAGCTTCCTGCCGGAGGTGGCGAACAAAAGGAGGTTTGTGCGGCGCGCAGGAAGCATTCCTGGTTCTGTCCAGTGGAGACCTCCAGTTCTGCGCTCTCCTCGCCCAGGAATCCCGAGCTGCATGGGAGAAGCAGCTGGAGAAAGCTGCCCTTCAATTGTTTGGTTTCTTCTCATTGTTCAGTGTGTGGCCTTCAGGCCTGGCGTTTGCCAGTTTTTCGTGCTCGGGAGACAGAATTATTCCATCCCCAGCCCTGTCTGCGGTGGAAGAGGGAAATCAAACACACTGATCCCTCCTCATGATAATCTTTTTCATCTCTCTGCTGAATGAACGCGATTAAAATGAAATCAGTGGGGATGATGATGTTCCAGTCGAGTCTGGTGGCAGTGCTCACCTTGGTGTGTTTATTCTCATTGGGGTTTGTACATAAATGCTTGTGAGGGATCCAAAGCCCCTGGAGTGCCAAGAACGGATCGAGCCGGGAGCCTGGTGGGAGCCAGCACACCGCCACAGCACTGGGGAGGGGTGCAGCTCCTGTCGTTAATCCCTGGAGGGGCTGAAATCCCCGGGAGCAGGGAGCGCTCAGGCTGCGCTTGCACAGTGCCCTGTGCTTCAGGTGCTCCTGCTCCTCCCGTTCTCTCGAGGGCTCAGCTCCCCTGCCCTCTGCTCTGCCCCCTTTCCGTGCCCTGGGCTAAGAGGGACCTTTCCCAAACCCACTTTAGCAGCTGGCCTGGTTTAAATCCCGTTTTCCTTTCTCGGAGCCCGGCCGCAGGGGCAGGGAAGGGGTGTGATGGAGGTGGGCAGGGCAGGGGTGTGATGGAGGTGGGCAGGGCAGGGTGCCCAGAGGGGATCTGCGCGAATGGGGGATGTTTTCCTGCTGGGGAAAACCTCCCCAGCTGCCGCTGGGCAGAAGGACACGAGAGAAGAATTCAGCCCAGCGAACCCGAGCCTGGTGGCTGTGTCCATGAGACTCCCAAAGGGAGAGGCAGAGCATGGGCTCACACTGAGGGAGAGGTGGATCAGGAGGGTTTCTCTGCTGGTGAAACCCGTGCTGTGCCCTCTTTCCTGTGCCTGGTTCCTCCCTTGCTGGCCCGGGAATAGCGGCACAGCCGCTCAGGGAGGTGGGGCCAAGCGCCAGGAGGAAAAGGGCTGGGTCACACCTGAAGGAGACTGGAAAGCTCAAGGCCATTTTTCCCCTGGGCAAACAGCTCAGATCTGGGTAATGATCTCGGATAACATCTTCAGTCCATCCTTAGGGGGCATTTTTATCCTGGATTTCAAAGAAAATTCAGCTTGTGCAACCCCTGTGTGCCTCATCCACCCTCCACGCTCTTTCACAGGCATTTGGCACCCTCTTTGATAAGGCTGCATTGCAGGCCCTGTCTCACTAAGACTTCCATGTTTATTTCCCTGTTCCAGGAGCTCTGATGGATGAGGAGGAGTTCTGGCTAGGCTTTGGGTCACTCTGGGGAGCTTCCTGTGGAGAGAAGGGGTGGCAGTGTCAGCTCAAGCCTGTACTAGCCACCAGAAAAGGGGCTGCTCACTTGTGACTTGCCTTAGTGGCAAAAGAAAAAGGACTGAAGCCTAAGGAAGATATCCTGTAAGATGTGGAAGGGGAGGGAGAAAAGCACAGCCCATTTCCAGGTTTGGTCCTGAGCCACAGCCCCCTCCTGCTCATTCTGTCCCGTGTCATGTGCGGAGCCAACCTCAAGTTATCAAGTTAACCACCTCGGTCATCAAACTGCAAACTAACAAAAAATAATAATAGCAATTTCAGAAACCACCCTAAAGGCATGTTTTCACAAAGCTTTCTCGGTTTGCCCCCCGTGTTGTGGTGGGCTGCTGGCTGTCCTTCCCTGCCTGCAGAGGCAGCTCTCCCTCCCTCCCTCCCTCCCGGTGTGTGTGTGTGTGTGTGTTTGTGCTCACACGGGGGACTTTGCACACCCAGAGCTCTCCACTGGGACACAGGGCCTCGCCTGCCTCAGTGACAAAGACAAAACCCCCAAAACCTGAATTCAGCCTAACGCAGCTTCCATTTGCCCCGTGAAGCCGAGCGTGGCTGGCGAGTGTGGGTGTGGGTGCCTGCATGGCTCGGGGTAGAGGCAGAGCTGAGGAGGGGAGCAGGCTGTGCCTGCTGCTGTTAGCATTGATTTCCTTGTTATGGCAGTGCTAATTATAGCAGCAAAAAGTCTAATTGCTGTGTTGTAGGCACTTTTATCTCACCGTGATACCTTTTCCCCCTCCGAGAAACGGAATTATTCCCGTCCCTCCGCAACAGGGATGGACCTGCCTGTGGTGGTGTGGGCACTGATGGTCCAGGTGCAGCCACCCTGGCCCTGCAGGAAATGTTCCTGAAGGATTTGTTGGCAGGGCCGTGTTGTTTGTAATCAAAAGTGCATTATGCAGAGGAAAAAACTGTAATGTGTAACTTTTTGTGTCCCTCCTCTGTAATTCAGAGGGATGACTGAAGGCTTCTCTGTGCACGGAAACCCCAAAACTAGTTTTAATTCATGAAATGTGTGTATTAAAAATGCTTTATTTTGACCAGGTCAGCCTCCTTTCCAGGCAGGTGGAGGTGTGCCTGGCTTGGGTGAGTTTTATTTTTGATGGGCATGAATGAAGTGAAAGCCCTTGGAACTCATCCCCTTAGCACTTGTACAGAAAGAAGCTCCGTGAACCTGTTCTCACCAGGAATTTGGATTAATTTTGTTGCTCCTCCCACTCGGACAAGCCCCAGGGCCCTCTGATAGTTCTTCCCAGGGAGCTGGAGGGAAGCAAATCTGATTGTCCTGAGATTTGAATGATGGAGTACAGATAAATTAGGGGGGAAGATGACAGAATTCTTTACCAGCAAGGAGCACTGAAACTTTCCTTCCATTGGCAGGGCAGCCTGTGAAACAGTTACTTGGGATTTTAAATTCCCCGTGCACTTCCTCCTTCCAGCCAGGAGGGCAGGAGCTCCGGGCAGCCGCTGCTGGAGCCCTGCTGGAGCCCTGCTGCTTTTACAGCCGGGCTGGTGCCACTGCACGTCGGGCAGCCAGCCCCGGGGACACCGGCGGGTCACCTCCAGGTGTGGGGCTGCCACACGGCGCCAACACCTCATATTGCCCTGGCCAGAGGGGGAAAAGGGGCCCCCAGACACCCCACGCTCTTTCCCTGGCATCGCCAGCATGAGGGAGTGAGGAGGGGGGTCTGGATGCCCTTCCCCATCAAATCCCTCCCCGCCTTCCCCATGGCATCCCCTCGTTTTGGGGTTCTGCAGAGGGTACCGGAGCCAGGGAGTGCAGCCTGGCTCCCTCCTGCAAGTGCTTCCCCTGAGAGGGGGATGAAATGCGGGCAGAGGCCAAAGTCTGCCTGCTCAGCGGCAGGGAGGGATGCAATCCCAGCAGTAATAATTATATTGGTGGCAATTGCACAGACCCTTGCCCGCGGCCGGCGGGAACGGCGGCGGCGCTGCTGGGAACTGAGGGCAGGGGTGCTTGCTGGCTTAGGGCTGGGCTCCTTCTCTCCTGGAAATCATTGTCAAAGGCACTGGGAGACCAAAACCGTTGTGCACGGATCCCCAAAGTGTTGGCAGGGTAATTCTGGCCCCTAAAGCAGGCTGAGCTGCATCCCCAGCTCACACCCTCCGAGGGAGGGGAGGGATTCTTGGGCTGCAGCCATGAGGGCAGCAGGAGAGAAGGGCTCATCTGGGTGTGTGTGGGGGGGCCAGAGGCACCCGTGGGTGCTGCAGCCAGCTCTGAGCCCCCTTAGCAGTCAAACCAGAGGTGGAAGGAAGGGGCCCAGCTGGGAGCAGCACCCCTGCGCTCCCGTGGCCATTCCCAGCAGCAGGGTGTGTGTGTGCCGGCGTTTGGCTCGTCCTGGGCGTGTTGGAGCACATGCTGTGCTGTAGCACAGGCGGGACAGGCAGGGACTCTCCAGCAGCAGTGCTGGATCCCCAATGGAATCAGCCCTGCCCCTGCATGCGTGGCGCCAAGCACAAGGAGGTGCATCCCTAACAAGGCAGTGCCCGACACAGGGCTCCGGGTGTTCTGTCCTGGCCCCTGGCCCTGCCTGAAGCTGTTTTGTGCCCAGGCTGGCATCACCACTGCCAGTGGCCAAGGCTGTCCTGGTGGTCTTCCTTGTCGGGGAGGAGCTGGGAGGAGTGCAGCAGAGCCATCTTCTCTTTCTGCTGCTGCCAAACCCCAGGGAGCTGCACTGCCAGGGTGCTCGGCCCGGGGTGGCAGCAATGGGACTGTCCCAGAGCACCCAGCTGGGGACAGTTATTCCTTGCTCCAGCTGACCCTCTCTGCCCTTATCACTTCCTTCTCACTCTATAATCCTGCAAAAAGGAGAGCGATGGCAGGGACAGCACCTAGCCCCTCCTGGAGATTTTTGAAATGGTAAAGAAATGCTTGAACTCCCTCCGCATACAATGGGATTTATGGCAGCCGTCATCCGGCAGGAATGAGGAAGCCTTGGGGGGCCCCAGAGGTGCCATTTGTCCTTGGGGAGGGGACAGGGGATTTTCTACCACCGAGGTTTGAGCTTGGCGGGGCATGGCAGAGATGGCAGGGCTTGTGGGAGGGGGGAAGCACAGCTTATCACGCCGTGCCAGCTGCGGGAAGCACGGGGTTCAAAGGCACACATTATTTTCAGGAACCTGGAAACAGACTGACTGAGTCAGCCCCCAGTTGTGGCTCATCCAGCGTTTTTCCACCATCCAGCGTTTTTGTATTTTTTCACGGAGAGCTTTCCCTCTTGTCTTCCCAAACCCCGACAAATGTTTGTCATCCCAGCCAGCCAATGGGCTTCGCATTCCTTTCTTGAGCTCTCAGCCTCCTTGAGCTCATCCTGGGGTGCAGTGCATCCCAACAACAGTGCATCCTGGTGGCAGTGCATCCCGGTGTGCTGTGCATCCCGGTGCCAGGGAAAACGGGTCTTTTCCAGGGCAATACCTCCCATCTGCATGGGAAGCAGACTCAGGCTAGGCAGCAAAATGGGAACAGGGAGGTGTGGTGATGATGAGTCGAGCATAATGCAAGGAGGAAAAATGCCTCTCACCTGTGGTATCCTTTCCACTGCATTCCAGCAGCCCCCTCCAGAGACTGAGCTGGGAAGCTGCTCAAGTGGCCAAACCCACCTGGCTGAGGCTTGTTGTGGCCTGCCAGGGAGAATCCAAAGTCCAGACAACTGGGCAAGAAGGGTGAGAGGCTGCTGCCACATCTCTTCACTGCTCGCACAGCTGTTGGGTTTGGTCTCCTGTGAAAACACCAGAGAAACACTCAGGGCATTGAGGGCCACCAGCAGCAGTGACTGGTTGCTGGAAGAGGGTGGTGGAGAGGCTCTGACTTGAGTGGAAGTTTTTGGAAGTT